ACTAAAGATCAACTTTAAGGCAAAAGGATCACAGTTAATGTGCTCATGGTGGGGACCATACTTCCCACTCTGTTTCTTAAGCATAGTATTAAGGTCCTGCATGGGAAGTTAGTGCACAGTGACTCATGTTGTTAATTTAACCATTAACACTCTTATGTGTGACATCAGTGACCACCCAAGGCTCTTGACATGAGCTGCCTAGGCTCTGAAAGCCTTCTGAATCTAAAGACTCTGTCAAAATTCAAACAAGGCCATAAGCAAAGTGAAAGTTCTCTCCACCCCACAGAGAAAAGTAAGTCCTTCTTTGATGACCATTTCTTTCCACTGGAGTCTCACCCAGGGAGGTTCTCCATGCAGGGACAACTTTTCCCACAAGTGTCCTGGCTTTCCACACCTGACATACTCTTGTGAGCCTTTTAGCCAGACCAGAAGACCAGGATGCCTTTAGGGCTAATTCTGAGGTCACAGAGTGTTACTTAGAGCAATTGCCATTCTATGAGTCTGCTGTATGGACTGCTTCATATATTGGAGCATTTACTCCTCTATAACACTATTAATTCTCTTGCTATGATCAGTTTAACAATTAGTCCATCTATACGACCACTTTAAAACTTAATCCAATCCAATAGGATCATTTAAAACAATCTAGGGCTGGCACCGCAGCTCACTAGACTAATACTCTGCTTGTGGCACTGGTACCCCTGGTTCTAGTCCCCATTGGGGTGCCAGATTCTGTCCCGGTTGCTCCTCTTCCAGTCCAGCTCTCTGCTATGGCCTGGGAATGCAGTGGAGGATAGCCCAAGTGCTTGGGCCCTACACACATATGGGAGACCAGGAGGAAGCACCTGACTCCTGGCTTCAGATCAGCACAGCGCGCCTGCCATAGCAGCCATTTGGGGGGTGAACCAACAGAAGGAAGACCTTTCTCTCTGTCTCTCTCTCTCACTGTCTAACTCTGCCTGTCCAAAAAAAAAAAAATCTAATCTGTATAATTATATTAAAACTTAAGATGTCACTTTCACTATCTAGCCCAAGGGGATTTGAGATCCCATGGTGAAGTAAATTTAGTTGTGAAGTTACAATTTAATCTCTTATTTTGGCTATGCTATTATGTAGAGAATGTTAGCCACTCCTTTCATAAGATCTAAAAATCAAACTGTACATCTTGGAGAATCCCTCAGCACAGAGTCAGTTTCCCATCTTAAAGGGAATAGAGAGAAATGAGGGAACAGTGATTACAACTATTAAATAACAGCTTATGAAAATATTCACTAGGATGTCCAATGCCTTTTATACATTTTAATACATATGTTTGGAAATATCTCTTAAATATCTAACACAGTGTAGCTTGCTTAACCAGCAAACTTGAGCACACAATATGAAGCATTTTTAGTTTCTTTCTACCAATAGATTTAAAACATCTTACAAAGAAATTTAGGTCACATGAATCAAATGTATCTTTGATTAATTTTAGCAGTTTAAATTTATGAGCAATCTTTCATTTATAGGCTAATTAAGACAGAGCTCTTACTAAATTTTCCTATGTAGGTGTACAATATATACACACATATAACACAACATACAAGACAGAACAATGAAGCAGTTTTGTTAATAGTTTCCTAAAATCTTTAGCTGTTTTTTATTATCATCAACCATTTAGAATTACTTGCTGCTCTTAATAATCTAAATTAGCCAAACTTTTGTGAAGTTGGCTTTATCTGTTTACAGAACTGTCCCAGAGTATTGAACACAATAGAGGTCATGGAAAAAGAGGTCCTTTTAAACCTAAAATGATACATTTAAGCATAGAACCAACAATGTTTTAGTTTCATGAGCAGCAGATATGGTATATAAAACTGTGGATAACAAAAAATTTTAAGTAGGCATGTTTAAATAATAAACCTATTAACCAATAAGAGGTGCTTGCTTACTCCATACAATATTTTTTTAAAAAGCACTTATAGGATTTTGTAAGAGAAATAACCCTTTTAGGCCTCTGGGCCTTTCTCGTTAAAATAACCATCATATCTAGTAACACAAGATCATTAGACTTTAACCTTTAGACATTTGTATTGGTAGCATTTTATATTATCAAAATTTAAAATTTAGCACCACTTCATATCTTGATAGTACTTCTAATACAACCCAAATAGCCTGATGATTTGGTGTCTCTACAAGATGAGAGACATGTCCTTTGATATTTCCAGGTGCCTATCTGGAAATACCAAAGTCCAAAATTTTTGGAACTGAATTTTTGAATGCCTGCCAATAATACCAAGAAGGCTCAAAATCCAAAATATCTGGTCGAAATAGGATCCCTTTACATCATGACATCATATAGACAAAATTTGATCATTGTTATAAAGGTGATTATATGTGTTTCAGAATAAATATGTATTTTAAACAAATCATAACCCAAATAAGAATTCAGCTGTTTTAAACAATTAGAACCTAGCAGAGACATTAAGATAACATAATAGATTAACTTAACACAAAATCTGCATCTCTTTGGTTGTTCCAAAAGTGATAAATAAAACCTTAAATTTAAGAGCTGGTATATTGAATCAAATCCCATAACTTGGATGTTTTAACAGAGTCAGAACTAGGGAAGAGAGAATAGCTTACTGGAGCTGGCTAGAAAACTGAGCAGAGTCACCGATTAAACAAAGCTATCAAAAGGAGATGCTGCAGGTTTTTAAATAGATTTTTAGCAATATTTTGGAATATTTACTAACATATGCATTGTAAAGTCTTCATTGCTGTAACAGAGGATCAGATTTTAGTTCTATGTCAAATAGATAAATAGACATACATTTTGAAATAACCCTCTAGGATTCCCCACATTAAGACAACACTTTTTAAAATACAGTAACATCAAATTTCAAGCCTAGTTATTTCCAAGTGGTGTTGAACTATTTTCATATGGACAATTTATGAAAACGTGTTAGCAAGCCCAAGTGGCTTTTCTATATAGACACATTCATCTCATTAGCTTTACCCAATTTTACATTTAGCACTTACACCTAAATGACTTATGATGCTGATAGTATATTATATTATATTATATTATATTATATCTCTATCTGAACTTAATCAAAGTCAAAACTGCATTTATCTATAACTAGTAATGATTATTTATTGCTGTTTTCATCATTGATTACCCATTTCTATAGCACTGGAAACCTTTTAAAATATATATTGCAAAATAAGTTTGGCACGTTACAAAGCAATAATTTTGAAGGCAGCGATACTGCTGGATTCAAAGAGAGAAATTTTCTTGGTATTCAGTTACAAGGCGGGGACAACCTGTGACAGTAACTATAGGGTTAAATTGAAAAATCTTTCTCATCTGTGTCTGTATTTGGCAGCAGCAGGTTGGCATAGGAGCCTGAAGAGCCATGGGAGCCCAGGTTGGGGCTGATGGTAGTGCCCGTTCCAGCAGGAACACCAGAGACAAGTTTTGGGGAACATGTCCATTTATTAACAGCTACATACGCTTTTTAAAGAGCAGGGAGAAGGAGCATAACTAACTCAGGGGAACACTGACTATAGGACAGAACTGATACTGATACCAATATGCCTCTCCACTCAGCTTTTCTGGGGGGCCTAAAGGGCCAGGACCACACCTGGGAGCAGTTTACCTGATTGGCAGAAGGTGAGGGTGGGGAGAAATGTGCCTGGGCTCAGGCTAACTGCTGGGATGACCCAGAGAGATCTATTTTCAATTGACTTTATACCACAGTGCTGGCCCCATTTGCCCATTTCTTAACTGGGTTGTTTGTTTTGCTGTTGTTTTCTCTTTAAATTTTCCCTGAGACTGCACTCCTTCCACTTTGTTAAAACTATCTTCTACTAGAGTAAAGCAGCAAGCTCCCTCCCTACTCTGCCATCCAGAGTAATCACATTGCTTTTATGATACTCAAATTAACCAGTATTTCTTGTATTTTTTAATTTAATAAGTCAGGCAGAAATGAAAGAATTTCATTGTGATCAAATAAGAGTGCATCAAACAATTAGACAAAAAGCTTACCATTGTGGGCTGGCATCGTGACATAACACATAACATTGTTACCTGCAACACTGGCATAACACATGGGTGCTGGTTTGTGTCCTGGCTGTTCCACTTCAGATAGATCCCTGCTGATAGACTGAGAAAAGCAAAATCTTCTGAATAGTACAGATGAAATCAGAGGAAAAATGACCCCACTACATGAGAGGCCTGAACAATGCTTCCTTTGCAGTTATGTGCTCCAGTAGATGCTATGAGAAGGCAGTGTGGCCTTCATGCCCTGTGGGTCACACATTTTCTGCAGGCTGAAGAGAGCTAACTTATATTTGGTACCTTCTATGTGCAAAGAAGTTCAGACATCTCTTACTTGCCACTTTACCTAATTAGCTTCACCTGGAGCTCTGGGCTCTCCTGTCTTAGTTGATTGCCTGGATACCCAACACATTCTGTGTCTACCTCCATCTTTGGGGACATATGAGCACATGGGAGGGTGAACACCTTCTGTGTAGCATGAAAGTAGCCATGGATGCACATGGGCATGTGTGAGCACCTTTGTGTACCAGGCACACATTGATGCATGTAATTTCTATGTGTAAACACATTTTTACCAGGCACATGTCTGTGTATTTACGTGTACACAGGAGTACCTTCTGTGTACCAGGCACACATCCATGAATGCACATGTGCTTGTGTGAACACCTTTGTGTACCAGGCACACATCTGTGCATGTACATGTCTGCCAATACATTTGTGTACCATTCACATGTTTGCATGCACACACATGTATGTGTGTGTGTATGTTAGCACCTTTGTGTACTAGGCACATATCCATGCATGCACATGTGCTTTTGTGAACACTTCCATGTACCAGGCACACATCTATGCATATAGGTTTGCCTATATGAACCCCTATGTGTGCCAAGTGTCTTTACATGCAGCAGCCTCCCACACTCCCTCTGAGGGTGATACTACTATTTTTTCCATTTTTTAGATGAGCAAAAAGAAGAGGGTAAGCCATCTTGACTAAGATACCTCAGCTGCAGTGAAGAACCCAACACTTCATTGTCCAAGCACTTAAGCCCAAGTACTTGAGTCCCCAGTGTAGACCACTCCACTCACATAGTAAGTGACATATCAAATAGTCCTTGCCCCCAACTCATCTGTATCCCCAGCACTGATCCCTAAACTCTCAGGAAAGGATTCCCTCTTGTTGACTAAGTCACTCCCATCAGTGACAAATATTTGTCAAAATGAGAAATAAATTGACAAATTTTCTCATCAGCCATTTTGTTCAGTTCACCAAAGTTTGGTTACTGCCTCACTTCACTCAAGAAATCTCTGGTCCAACAATCTCTCTGTCCAAATGAGAGCTTCACCAACGTGCTGATTCCCCAAGCTGCCTGCAGCATCAGACCTCACCCTCCTGCCTATTCAGGCTCTTTTTGCTCTTGACTTTTACTGTTGCCAGTCTCTTTTCACCACATAAGGTCAAGAGGCTGTCTCCTAACACAAGACCATAAAGCACAGATTCTGAACTTTCTCCCACTGTCCATGGGCCACACTTCTTAAAACCTAAACTTCTTTCATGATACCCCTCTCTTCTCATTATAAACAAGAATCTTAAGTCCAAATTCTTGGCCCTGAATCCTAGCCATCTTCACTCAGTCCCACTCACTTTCCTTCCAAACATCCTTCCCTCAGCTTAGCTGTCACTGCCCCAGCTCCACACTTGGCTGTGCCCTGGACAATGCTACTGCCTCTCTGACTTCTGCTAGCATCCAACACAGGCCTCCACTCCCTTAAACCATTCCCTACAAGGGATTTCTCATGTATTTCAGATCTTGTACTCACACTTTTGCACATGAATTTACTTCTTAGAAAGTATTATTTAATAAATTCAGTTGCTTTCTAAAGTAATTGAGATCATTCTGAGTTTTATTATCTTTGTGTAAACTTGCATATAATTGTTATTGCCATTTTGTGGCATTTAATGTAGTTTTAAGATAATAACTTCACAATGCATATTTGCAATTCAAAATTTAGGAGGAAGGCATTGTCATATTCACTTTTTACATAAGACACATGAGCTCATGGGGTCTGCGCTATGGTGCAATAGGTTAATCCTCTGCCTGCAGTGCTGGTGTCCCATATGGGCACTGGTTCTAGTCCTGGCTGCTCTTCTTCCAATACAGCTCTCTGCTGTGGCCTGGGAAATCAGTAGAAGATGGTCCAAGTCCTTGAGCCCCTGCACCTATGTGGGAGACTGGGAAGAAGCACCTGGCTCCTGGCTTGGATTGGCACAGTTCTGGCCATTGCAGCCATTTGGGGAGTGAACCAATGGAAGGAAGACCTTTCTCTCTGTTTCTTCATCTCACTGTCTATAACTCTACCTCTGAAAGTAAATAAATAAAATCTTTAAAACTAGACACATGAGCTCTCAAAGAGGTTAAGTTACTATCCAAGATCACACAGCTAGTAGATTGTAGACCCAGGAATTGAACATCAAAGGCAGTGTTAAGATGGAAGTTTATAGCAACCAGTGGCTACATCAAGAAACTTGAAAGACATCAAATAAATGATCTAAGGATGTATCTCAAGGACCCAGAAAAACAAGAACACACCAAACCCATACTTGGAGGAAAGAAATAATTAAAATTAGAGAAGAAATAAACAAAATTGAGGCCAAAAAATATAGAAAAGATCAGTGAAATGAAGAGCTGCTTTTTGGAAAAAATAAAAAATATACACCATTGGCCCAACTAACCCAAGAAAAGGAAGAAAACGCATATTGAAAATTGGAGATGAAAAAGGATTATAATGAATATCACATATAAAAAAAGAATCATCAGAGCCAGCACATGGCGTAGCAGGTAAAGCTGCCACCTGCAGTGCCGGCATCTGATATGGGTGCTGGTAAGAGAATGATAAAATAATATCACTTATGAACATAGATGCAAAAATTCTCAACAAAATACTAGATAATCGACACATCAGAAAGATCACTCACCCAGACAAACTGGGATTTATCTCTGGTATGTAGGGATGGTTGAACATACACAAATCAATAACTGTAGTACATCACATTAACAAATTGAAGAATCAAGGCTATATGATTATCTCAGTAGATGCAGAGAAAGCATTTGATAAAATACAACATCCCCCAAATAACTGGAAGTTATATGAGGGCAGAAGCCATTTTCTCCCTTTCATGTCTTACATCATCCCTCACTCCATCCCAACATCAATGGTGGTAGTTCAATATATATGTTCTCTAATATGTACCATAGCAAGTAAATTAAATGTGTTCCTAAAACTTATCGAGATTTTCCTGCATGCTAGCCTCTATTTTAAGCACTTTAGAAAGATTAACTCCACTATTTCTCACATAAATCTTAAGAATTATAGAATTTTATTACCCACATTTTACACATAAGAAAACAGATTCATTAAGTAAGCCTGTTAAGGAAAAGGAAACTGGCAGAGCCAGAATAAAATCCCAGGTGGTTGAGTCCATGTTCCATGCTACTACTCAACATTGGCTCCGAAGGGGCCTATTTACTGAGCTTTGTAACTGTGTGGCCAGGTTCTAATAACCTGAATTCTGTTTTGGAAGAGCTCAGTTCTTTGTTTCAGCTGAAGTTTCTGTAATTTATTCTTTCCCACAAATATAGAGCATAATCAAGCCATCTGCAAATGTAAGAAATGTGCAGCTCTGGCAACACAGAAATTCAGTTCCTTGGGGTTGCATTCCCATGGGTGTCAGTGAGGCTGGCAGGAAAGCTATCCAACCCCAGGATGGCAAAGTGTGGGCTGCCACAAAGAACTGCAGCTCTGCATCTCATTGTTTATTCTCTTCTGTTCTCCCTCATCTATCTCTCTGCCCCTCCTTGCCAATATGAATCAGGAATTGTCATTTCTCTGAAGCAGCAATGCTTAACATACTGTGAGGCCTTCACTGGGATTTAAAATTGGGAATGTATACCATTTTGGAAATCTGGAATGCACATAATAGGAAGCTAAAAATGCAGCTGGGAAGGAGGCAAAGGGTGAGTGTCCTCAGCAGCTGCTCTGAACCCTGACTGCACATTGGAATCACATGGAACACAATTATAAAAATACTATGCCTAGTTCCCACCCCCAGAGACTCTGACCAGATTGAACTCAGGTTTACCCTGGAGATCAATGTGTTTTAAAAGCTTCCTAGATGATTCTAACATTCACCAGGGCTGAGAATGTCTGATCTAGGGTATTACTGTTGTGGTCAATGTTCATTCACAGATGTCTTTCTTCAAAGGTGAGCAGAATCCATGTTATGAATCACCAAGTTCAATTTGTATGCATCACTGCAATCTCAGAGACATTGTGTGTGCTTTGTTCTAAGCCTGGTGTGCCCAGAGGAATCATTCATTTCTGGAAGTATTGTAATCTAGAATCCAAATTCCAGCCCACCTGTTTGTCTGAATGTGTGTCTCCCTTTATTGATGAATCTTGGATACCTGGCCCAGGCAACCATCATGGAAGCAATGTCTTCTTTTTAAGCAAGCACATGCTAGAGTAGGTCAGGTCTGGCCAGCACTCACTACAGGACAGTTCCCCTCTCTGAGCCTACAAAGAGAAGGAAGTAGGAGACTTTGAGCATTTTATTTCAACCTAAATGTAAGCTTCCCTAGGGATGTGCTGGACCTAGTTATTACTGACTCATTAGAGTTAATTGTGTGTATTTTCCTCTCCTCTTCACTTTCAGTGCTTTTGTGTTGGCAGTAGGTATATATATACCAGAGAAATATGCAATAGCTTCTTTTTTTCTTCTGGGAGTCTGATTGTTAAACATGAACATGCCACTGCATTTACCCAGAAATAGCTCTCTAAAGAGAAGTGAAATATAGACAGTGATTTCTGGCCTTCAGTCTCCACGTTGCACCTGTTTCTGCAATGTGCTCACCACCTTTTCTCCAAAGACATCCAGGAATTATCAAGTTTCTTTGCACATCACACATATATGTAATCATATCAAAATTATCTGAATATTTATTTAGAATAAAGTATAAAAGTCTTAGAATGACTCAAAATGTGACATTATCAGGAAAATGTGCATTTTGACAAGGCTTACACATTTAAATAAAATGATTGAGTCTCACAAGGAAATATGAGACATCAATCAATGTATACAGTGAATTTGGGAAGAGGCTCTAAGGCCTTCCCAGCATCCATGCAACTGCCTAAGTGGGAAATTGTCACCTCTGCCAAGTGTGTAAGACAACCCTATTTATTCTCCAACATGAGTCAAGCCACTTTGCCTTCCTTCTGTGAGTCAGAATGCTTTTCTACAACCATTCTGTCAGCTACCTTGAACTTCACTATTCTTGTGTCATCACAACAAGCTGTTGAGGACATAGACCAAAATGGGAAGAGCTGCAGTTCTAATGAAATTGGTACTGTGGATTCTATTAGTCATGATATCTGGCTGGCATCAGTGTTACTACTTCAAAGCCATGGTCCTTCAACCCATGGAACTGAACATGTCTTGGGATTCCTCCCACTTCCTTCTCCCAGGATAACAGTAACAACTACTGGCAGTCAATTATGAACCAAGCACTGTTCTATCTCCTTTACATATATCTTATTTAATTTTCCCCCAAATTCTAATTATTCCCATCTTACATATGTAGAAAATAAGGCATAGGTTAATTAAGTAATGAGCTCAATTAAAAGCTGAAAACTACAGAGGGAATTTGGGTTTTTGAATATGGTTGTCTGACTCCAGAGCCCATTCTCTCAGCTATCCAATCACACAAACTCATATATTGATATTTAATTATAGTGCTTGTAGTCTGTTGTTTTAGGTATCATACACTACTTGGCACAGAGTGACATATCTGAAGACCTTGTCAAATTCCTTTTTAAATATTTGTTTTATTTATTTGAAAGGCAAAGAGAGATGGAGAGATAGAGATCTTTCATTCACAGATTCAATCCCCAAAGGCCAGGGCTGGGCAAGACTGAAGCCAGGATTCACGAGTTTCTTCCAGGTCTCCCACATGGGTGCAGGGGACCAAAGTCTTTCACATGGGTGCTGCTTTTTTAGGTGCATTAGCAGAAAGTTAGATTGGAACTGGAGCAGCTGGGATTTGAATCATTGGTCATATGGGATGCTGACATTGCAGGTGGCAGCTTAACCCATTAGGTCACAATGCTGATCCCTTCTCATCTTCTGACATGCTGTCAGCATCTCTGCAGGGCAACTTCCTTTCCTGGTGAAGGTGGATGGGATACGAGAGCTC